GTGTTGGCCTATCTTCAGCCTCAAAGGGAGCACTGTGAATTGATGAGGACGACCTGGCAGTACAAATCTCAAACTTCCTGTGGGCTGGGAAAATTGCCACATGGAAGTAGGCAGCCTGAAGAGTGGATCACAATTACTTGGTATATTGCTTTCAATGTAGGAAGATATTGTAGCTAGAGTTGCCATGCAGAATCTCATTAGTTTGTTGAGACTTGGAAGATTGAGAATAGATCTCACCCCTCCCTTGGATTTGAAGATCAGGAAATAGAATTCCTCTTACCAATGCTGAAGGAGGAACTTCCTCTATAGCTCCCAAAGCGCACAGAGTCTGGACTTGTGAGAGATGTCCCTGAAAAGGGATGGGGTAGGGAGGTAGGAATGGGAAATGAACATAAGTTGGATGGCATAACCTGATCCCCCAGTGCGTAGGACTCAGTAGTGGTTTCCCAAGGACTGCAGAAGTGAGACAGCCTGTCCCTGAATTCAAGGGATATGGTGAGAATGTCATAACTGGAATGCCACTCTAGATATGCAAGTCAATTAGACTCCCTGCCTGAAACTAGCAGAGAGCGGGCTGACTGATTAAAATTGGACCCAGCGGGTTTTCTCCTCTATGATTTACATCCCTTTTTGGGGAACTCTTGCTGCCTAGCAGGATAGGATGACTGTTGGAAGCACTGCTATGAATGATATTGCTGGTGACCTCCATAATGACACCTCTTTGTGGCCAGGGTACAAATCTCCCAATGACTGCAAAATAGCATGAGAATCCTTAAATGAAAAAAGTCTCACCAGTTTTCTTAGAAAATGGACCTCTATGCTGTGTTGGACATTAGGAGCTATGCCATAATTTTGCAGCCATGAGGTATCATTACTGAGAACAAAGTCTGGACAAAGGGTCTGCTACAGTCAGTGCCGACTGCAAGGAAGTCTTTGCCACCAAACAGCCTTGGACAATGAATGCCTTCAATTCTTCCTTGGAGGATTCTGGCAACTCATCTGTAAACTTGGACATAGTGTTGCAATTTTCTAAGTCATATCTTGTAATGAAGAGGTTGAATAAATTTTTCTCCCCATGAAATCTAACCTTTTAGACTGTCGTCTTTTGGTGTGGATTTATACCTCCTCTGATGCAGTCTTTCGGTTGCCACCATCACAACAATGGAATTATGGGCTAGATTTGAGGGGAAAAAAAACCACTCAAAACCCTACCTGGGGGGACATACCACCTTTTATCAGTACACTTCACAGTAGGTTTTAAGGATGCTGAGGTAGTCCACAGAGACTTTGTAGTTCCAAGACTGACTCTCCCTATAAATGAAACATTCTTCCTGGAGCTGAGGAATGAATATCCACTGACTTATGCATTTTCTCTTTAAACTCAGTCTGAATACCCGTCAAAGCCATTTGTCTCAATAGATCTTGATAGGATTTAAAATCCTCAGGCACCGGAGATGAAGAATCTGGCACTGCAATGTCATCTGGTAACAAGCAAGAGGACACTAGCAGAACCAGTGAAATCTCTGTGGCAACACGTGTCTGTAACAAGGGCTCAAGCTGAACCAACTCAGAGAGCCCCTCAGTCTGTGACTGGTTCATAAACAGCTCAGGCAGGGAGATTATCAGGGGCAGGCGACCCTGTCCTGGACTGAGTTGTGGATCAGGACCTCACAAACTGAGGAACCTCCCAGGGGTTCCAAGGAGGCCACTGTGGATTGGGGTATGGCATTGGTGGCCATTAGGAACTAGGCCAAGAGTCTTTAACCATAGTGCAGGAGCGATACCCCAGGATGTCTCAACAAGCTTTGAGAGCAGTAATACAAAGGTGAAGGAGAGGGAGAGGTCTCCAAACTTGATCTTGAAGAACTTTCCAAGTAGTCTGAAGGTAATGGAGGAGCAATTCTAGGCGGAGCCACTCACATCCAAAGCCCAATATATAGGCATCACTGGAACCAACAGCAGCACATGAGCTAGCACTTCAAGTAGTGATGGGTGATTGCACTCGGATGCAGTGCATAAACAGATGTTGGTACTGAAGTCGAAGCTGGTACCGGACCTCCAGATATAGACAGAACTGCAATCGTTGTCAGTACCAAAGATAGTATGGGTGCCGGTTAACCTCCCTGTACTGAGAAGGAAGCACACAAACTCTGCCCTTGGGATATGATGTGGTATGGACAATAATGCAGACAATAATGAGAAGTCTGCAACCAGTCTGGGTGATGCTGAAGACACCGAAAAAGGAAGCTACCATAGTTGACTGTTCCTGAGTAAGGGGAGAGTCAGGAACAGAAAGGCACAGCAAATCCACTGCTGCCTGATAAGTCGCCAGTGTGGAAACAGTCTGTGCCAACACCACTGTCCTCGGTAATGATTTTTATGGCAGCCGTGACTGTGGCTGAAGAGACCCAATCAAGAGAGAATCTTTGCTGCATCTGACACATTTAAAGGTGGTGTTTCAACCCTTTGGGTTCTGCTTTCTGTGAGCTCTTTTCTCCTCTGCTAAGCTGTTTTTCTCATAACTCTGGAGACCTTTGTTAAGCTCGTTTCCAAAGGCTGCAGTTATGAGTGTGATCTTCACAGTTATCCACAGCCATGTCCATTTCTTTGAGGTTTCGCTTGTACACATCCTTGAAACGCAATTTTGGGCATCCTTTGGGTCTTTTACCAGCTGCCAGTTTGCCATAGAGAATATCCTTTGGGATGCGCCCATCATTCATTCGGCACATATGCCCAAGCCAGCAAAGGTGTCTCTGTTTGAGGAGTGTTTGCAGGCTGGGTATACTGGCCCACTTGAGCACTTCAATGTTGGTGACTCTGTCCCTCCAGGAAATTCCAAAAATTCAACAAAGGCAACACACATGAAAGCTGTTGAGCCTCTCTTCCTGATGAGAGTATAAGGTCCATGCCTTGCTCCCATACTAAAAAAGTGTATCAGCTAAATGATGCATGATAAATAGCAATCTTCCTCCAATTCTTCCTAGAGTTGAGCAAACGCTCTCTGAAGTTTTGTACTATTACAAAAGGACATCAGAGAATTCCAGAAAGGGCTTTTATGTCTATGCAGTTTGCAGGGTCACTGCTGGTCATACCCCACTTCATGAGCAAGCCTGGTTGCCAGTAGTATAATAGTGCTTTTAACATAGTAAGCCTTCAAACTTGGGAGAGTTATGCTATTGCTACCAGATGACCACCTTCCTACTATAGTAAACAGTTCTGAGGAACAGTGCAGAAAAGCACCAGGAACTGTGTTGACAAAAAAATTCCCATGTTAGGGGGATCCCACTATGGGGAAAGTTCTATTATCTATGTCCAGAGGGCAGCTGTGGAAATATGGAGTCAAAATTAGAGAAGAGGACCCAAGCATCAGTAGTTTTGTATTCTATTCCCATCTATCACAAAGGGCAAGTCACTTAATTTCTCTCAACTTTCTCTCAGTTTCTCTCACTATAAAATAAAGAATACCTAAAATGCTGGAGTAAGATGAAACAATGTTTGTAAAATGCTTTAAGTTGCTAAGATGAAAAGGTATTTAATTAGAAAGGGTTACTGTATGAAAGAAGCAAGCAGCATTAGGACCAGGGAAGACTCTGAGGAGCCTGTATAGGGACTGGAAGTGGCAGTGAGAACAAAGAACCACCAGCAGTGTCTGCATGTGGTACTTCTGTGGGGGATTCTGCACCACTGTGCATGCACAAAATTTATGTCCCCCGCAGATTTCTTTGCTTCCCTGCAGAAAAATGACTTTCTGACATGGAAGCCACAACAGTTATCCTGCGACCCTCCCCAGCAGTATGGTTTCAAGGGGCCCAGGGCAGCCACCAGAGAGGTAAGTCACTGTGAGGCCAAGAGGCGGGACTGTGAAAGACCCGACTGGTGGCTCCTACCCTGCACCGGGCTCAACTGCTAGCTCCGGCTGGGCTGGGGAGGGCGGGACTTCCTCATCCCTTGCATGGCATCTGGGGACAAGTCAGATCCACCCCCGGACTTATCCCCCAGCTGAAGGAAGCTCTGCAAACTCCCCAGCCCCCTTTCTTCCTGCAACCATTGCTCCTCAGCTGCAGGGATCCCTGTACAGGGAGCTGCTCCCCCAACCCCTGTGCATCCAGTTGCCCTCATATGCAGACCCTCCAGCCAAACCTCACCCCCCATCCACTCAGAACCCCCCCACACCTCCGATGAGCCCTATTCCCCCTGCACCTGAACCACCCTGACAAGCCACCCACACCTAGATCCCCACCCCACCAAGCTGCATCTGGACCTCCCACTGAGCCCAATACCCAGCCCCTCCCTGCTGAGCCCCAACCACCTTCACCTGGACATCCCTGCAGAGTCCCATTACCGTTGCACACAGAATCCCTCAACAAGCCCCTGTGCATCCAGATCCCCCCTGCACCCAGATCCCCCACTGAGCTTCCCGCACTCAGATTGCCTCACACAGAACCCTCTCAACCCACACCTGGATCCCCGCCGCCCACTAAACCCCTCCATACTTGGATCCTCCCTTGCTGAGCCTGCCTGCCCACACCTGGTGAACCTGTCACAGAGGGGCAGGACTCTGGGGTGTATCTGGGGCAGGCCCGGTCTTTACACTGTGTCATGATTGGGTGCAGCCTCACTGCTGAGTCTGTGTCCCAGGGGGAGCTGCACAGTGATCTCTCACCTCTGTACAGCCAGTGCCCTGTGCTCCCCAATGCCATGCTGGAGCAGCCACATTTATTTGACAAAAATTGTTTGCAGAATTTTAAAATATTGTGCGCATAATATTTTTGGTACAGAATTTTTATTTTTTTGGCACAGAATGCCCTCAGGAGTAATGTGGGAAGATAGTTATATAGCAAGGAAGAAGCCTCATAGTCTGACAGAACAAGCCCCTCCATATCTATAGCAATCACTTTCATATTTGGTTAAATCTAATTTCATAGTGCCATCACAAAAAAGTATTATCTAGTTTCAGCTCTCTTCCATTCAAACAAGGATCTCCAATTAGCTTCACTTACCAGAAGTTTAGCTTGTTCAGGCAGTGAAATTTGTTCCCTCTTTCCATCTGGATACCTTAGCATCAGCTGTGCCTTCGGTCCTAGTGTAAAGTAAGTCGCTACAGGTTAACAACAGGGCATCTGAATTGAGCTTTTTTGTACATTTAAATGGTGTACTTCACTCTATGGGAAAAGAGGATTAGTGTGGAAATTAACAAAAAAAGTCTTAAAGGTGAGCTGCAAAGCTTGGTCCATGAAGATGAACTTCTGTTATATGTATTTTTAAAAATAAAGAAAGAAAGAAAACAGGGATTTTGATTAAGTTAAAACCAGTGACTGGTATCGCCCCTCCCCCCATCTCCACAGGGAAACCACAGCAAAGGGAAGTAAGGTGCAGCCCTCTGCTGACATCATAACTATTTGCATACCAAATTGATGTGAATACCATTCCCCTCTCTTTAGTGCACTCTCTACTTGTACACTGCTGCACTATCTCGTGGAAAACTGCTGTATTCCTACTGCCAACCAGCAGAGAAGGGGGAGGGGGGAGAGGAGGAGGGAAAGGAACTTTTGAGGTCCATCTACACTAGGAAAATATGCACCGATACAACCACACGAGTGCAGATTTGCTGCATAAGTGCAAAAGGACTTACATTTGTGCAGCATACCTCACTGGTGCGAGCCTCACTACACACATCTACATTACACGAATGCCAATTTCTCTAATATAGATGGGCCCTCAGGACAATAGAAACTCAGATTACAGTTCAGTGATTAACAGGTTCTTGGGATTTGCGACGTCATTTCATGCTGCTGAAAGTAGAGGGATGTATCCAAATGGCAAACTTTAAATAAGGATAAAGACAGAAAAAGTGTTCTTAAAATTAGGACTTAAACATGCTGGATAATATAAAAAGGCTGTTGCAAAGTCTTTTTTTTTTTTTTTTTTTTTTTAAAGTTACGAT